TCTCCAATTAACTACCAGAAAACCACAAGTGGCACTGTGGCTCAAAGTGGTAGAACACTAGCCTACAGTGGAAAAATCTCAGGGACAGCACCCACACCCCGCATTCAAGCCCCCCAGTTGACCCAAAAAAAAAATTCCAATAATCTAGTGAACTCTAACTTGTGAAAAGAGACTGAACACAAACAGAAAGAATAATCTCTGCAGACTCAGGAGAAAGAAAAGGAATGATAGTTCTTCCTTTAAGCCCAAGTCAGTATATTTTAGAACACTTACCTTCTTGCCAGTTACAGTAAAACAATGCAAACAAAGAGAAGAAACACACAAGGATCCCAAATTTGGCCTTTTAAATAAAACTTCAGGGTTTTGTTTTGTTTTTTGTTTGTTTTCATTTTGTTTTGTTGTGCCAATCCTAGGACTTAAACTCAGGGTCTAGGCACTGTTCCTGAGCCTTTTTTTTTGTCCAAGGCTAACACTCTACCACTTGAGCCACACAGCTCCACTTTCACCTTTTGTAGTTAACTGAAGATAAAAGAGTTTTGTGGCGGGCACAGGTGCTCTTATCAATAATCCTACCACTTAAGAGGCTGAGATATGAGGATCACCGTTCAGAGCCAGCTCCGGCAGAAAAGTCCCCTTGCGATTCTAATCTCCAATTAAACACTCAAAAACTGGAAGTGGAGCTATCGCTCAAAGTGTGTTACTCTTGAGCAAAAGAGCTCAGGTACAGGGCCCAGGTTGAGTTCAAGCCCCATGACCAACAACAACAAAAAAGTTTCATGGACTTTGCTGCCTGGGCTGGCTTTGAACAATGATCCTCAGATCCAAGCCTCTTGAGTAACTAGGATTAAAGGAGAGAGAGAGCCACTGGCTCAGGCAACTACAAGTTTTAAGTATTGATGATAACTTAAATATGAAACACTGTACAGGCAAATTAAACTTGTCAGCTGGTCAGAGGCCGTCTAAATGTCAAGGTTACCTATTCATTGTATAAATAAACCAAGCTACCATACCATAACTTAAAGTAAATCAAGCCTTTGCAGTCATCAACTTTTTTATTATGATTTAGTCCTCTGTTACATTTTCTTGATATATCCTGCCTTTCTAGCAGTTAACTGCAAAAAGTGAAAATGTTCAGAAGCATAGACTTGCTTTTATTTATATAAACATGGATTAGCACCATCAAATGCATCAGTTCATCTCTGGGTTTAAATTTCTGAGTCTATAATTCATAACTCCTCCAAAGTACAAAATCTTCGAGGCTTAGTATCATTAATTCTTCTCTGGTTTCAACTCTATTATAAGCTATTGTTTTCAATAAGTTTTAATCCAATAGAATGCAGTAGCAGTCCCTTCATGAGTAAAGTTTCAGTAAAATGACTAAAATCTGAGTATTTTAGACAGTTCTATGCAGGAAAAAGTGAAACACACAGCATTTTATAATAGTTTATAAAATTTAAATGAAGTTCAATCATTTAACCAGACAGTATAGCAGATGAAACCAAGAAATTAAGGGTCTTCATGTTACAGAGCAGCAAAACTGGTGCCAGAGCCTAAGTACTTGTCTCATTTTATTTTTTTGCCAGTCCTGGGGCTTGTACTCAGGGCCTCTGCACTGTCCCTGAGCTTCTTTGGCTCAAGACTAGCACTCTACCACACCATTTCTGGCTTTTTCTGTTTGTGTGGTACTAAACAATTGATCCCAGGGATTCATGCATGCTAGGCAAGCACTGTACCACTAAGCCACATTCCCAGTCAGTTGTCTCATTTTAGTATTCAAAAATTCCTAGCCAGGAGCTGATGGCTCACACCTATAATCGGAGCTACTCAGAAGGCTGAGATGTGAGGATTGCTGTAGCTCAAGTGGCAGAGTACTATCCTTAAGCAAAAGGAGCTTAAGGACAGCAAGCACCCAGGCCCAGAGAGTTCAAGGCCAGGATTGACAGGGAGGGAAAAAAAAAAATCCCAAATGTTTGAATTATATCTAAGCAAGAAGAGCTCAAAAAAAAAAAAAAAAAAAAAAATGTTTCCAGCAAGGGAAGAGTGGAGAGAAAAAAAAAAAAAGTTTCCTTTTAAATTATAAAATTTAGAAAGAAAAAAAAAAAACCACTGAAGTACATAATTATTTGATTTTCTTAAAAGTAGGAAGGCAAGCCGGGCGCTGGTGGCTCACGCCTGTAATCCTAGCTACTCAGGAGGCTGAGATCTGAGGATCACGGTTCAAAGCCAGCCCGGGCAGGAGAGACCGTGAGACTCCTATCTCCAATAAACCACCAGAAAACCGGAAGTGGCACTGTAGCTCAAGTGGTAGAGCGTTCGCCTTGAGCTGAAGAGCTGAGGGACAGTGCCCAGGCCCAGAGTTCAAGCCCTACAACCGACAAAAAAAAAAAAAAAAAAGTAGGAAGGCAATACTTAAAGGAAAATAATCTAGTTCTTTTTAATCAGGTCAAAGCAGGTGTACCATGTTAACTTAAAACACCATCACCTAAATTTAAAACTAGGGCATCTGGGATTTGAAGACTACTGAGTATCAACAGTAAAGGAAAATAGATATACCCAAAGATTATAAGCATCTGAGTGTAAGCAACATGTAAGGAATAATAGTTACTTATTATTAGGGGCAATATTTAATATGTACTGGATATCAATACAAGCACCCTTTACTTTCAGAATTCATTTTAATCTTCACAACAATTTTATAAAATAAGGCTGGTCAGCTAGGTACTGGTGGCTCACACCTGTAATCCTAGCTACTCAGGAGGCTGAGATCCAAAGATCAAGGTTCAAAGCCAGCCTGGGCAGAAAAGTGCCCATGAGACTCTTACCTCCAATTAAATTAACTACTCCCAAACCAGTAGCAGAGCTATGGCTCAAAGTGGTAGAGCACTAACCTTTAGCAAAAAGAGCTCAGGGACAGTGCCCAAGCCCTGAGTTCAAACCCCAGGACTGACAGGAGAAAAAAGAAAAAAAAAAAAGACCTGATCTTTTCCCAGGGCATCAGCAGCTCACACCTATATCCTAGCTACTCAATAGGCCAAGATCTGAGGATTGTGGTTCAAAGCCAGCTTGGGCAGGAAAATCCATGAGCTTCTTTTTTTTTTTTGTCAGTCATGGGGCTTGAACTCTGGGCCTGGGCACTGTCCCTGTGCTCTTCAGTTCAAGGTGAGTGCTCTACCACTTGAGCCACAGCATCACTTCCAGTTTTCTAGTGGTTTATTGGAAATAAGAGTCTAATGGATGTTCCTGCCCGGGCTGGCTTTGAACAGCAATCCTCAGATCTCAGCCTCTTGAGTAGCTAGGATTACAGGCTCCATGAGCCTCTTATCTCCAATAAACTACGCAGAAAAGGCTGGCAGTGGCCCTGTGCCTCAAAGTGGTAGAGTGTTGGCCTTAAGCAAAAAAAAAAAAAAAAGCTCAGGAACAGCACCCAGTCCCTGAGTTCAAGCCCCACAATTGATCCAAAAAAAAAGATGGGAAAATGAAGCCACAAAGAACATAAGTAGGGCTGGGAAGGTGGCTCAGTAGTAGAGTGCTTGCCCTGGGTTCAATTCCTCAGAACCACATATGCAGAAAAAGCCGCAAGTGGCACTGTGGCTCAAGTGGTAGAGCACTAGCCTTGAGCTGAAGAGCTGAGGGACAGCACCCAGGCCCAGAGTTCAGACCCCACAACCGGCAAAAAAAAAAAAAAAAAAAAAAAGAACATAAGTAAACTGTCCCAAGGTTAGTAAAAGTAGTCTGTACTAATCTCTTTCTTATGATTACTCTCTCATTTTTTATCTATAGAACACTCCTGAGTTTAAAAAAACAATTCCCAGAACTTTACAACTTTGGTGGGGGGGGGGGGGGGTTGGGGGTGGTGAGGCTGGGAAGGGATGGGAAGGGTAAACAAAGGAGGAGGCTACAATGCTTGATAAGAAATGTACTCACTACCTTGCCCATGTAATTGTAACCCCTCTGTACAGTATTTTCATAATAAAAAATTAAAAAAAAAGAATCCTAATAAACTGAAGAATCCTGTTTAAAAAAAAAAAAAAAATTCCCAGCTAGTAAAAGTTGACTCAGCCATCACAACTTGCAATTAAAGAAAATCTTCCATTTGCATTTATAAATTTGGCTGCTATACCTGTTAAAACATGACCTAAATTGATTTAGTCACTGATAATGTGTCCACAATACATTTCACCAACACACACTTAACCAAACAGCTTTTACAATGTTCAACCAAAACAGTAAATTGGTAGTACACACCTAAAAGAAAAAATTAACAACTTCAACAGTTTCAGTGTGTCTCATAGCCAGGCACCAGTGGCTCCTGCTTATAATCCTAATCCTAGCTACTTAGGAGGCTGAGGACCATGGTTTAAAGCCAGCCCGAGCAGGAAATTCCATGAGACTCTTATCACCACCAGAAAGTGGTGCTGTGGCTCAAGTAGTAGAGCGCTGGCCTTGAGCTGAAGAGCTCAGAGACAGCACCCAGGCCCGGAGTTCAAGCCCCACGATCAACCAAAACAAAAAAGATCTGTCTCACACAGCTGAAGTCACCATTTTCTTCTTTTTGGCAATTTTAATGTTGATCATCTTAAGGATAAGGAATGTCTGGCCCAAAGGTTGTATTAAGGCCTGTGAAATCACTTAGTATATGATGTGTTAGACATATATGTTTCTCCACAGCTGCCCAGAGCCTGTATGCCAGGATTGACAATTTTGAATGGTCCAAAATGATGTCATAAATATCCAATGGTATCATAAATAAATATCCCAGTGGCCCTTTTCAAAAAAAAAAAAAGGGTTCCCTGCCCGACAGAAGATGAAACAGCATTTGCAAATTACTTGGCTGAGTGCTATTCAGGTTTTTTTTTTATCCAATATACATATATATATCCCAAGATTACTTTTTTAAAAACAACTTTTAAAAAAATAATAACTATGTTAAAAACCATTACCACAGATCACTGAGAATTTGAGAATGTATATCTGTTATAACATAAGGAAAAAAAACCTACCTGTCACTGCTGGTACTACTGCTGCTGCTGATTGAGTCACTACTAGACGATCTACTCCTAGAGCCGCTGCCGCTAGGGGACCTGGTGGGTCTAGACGCTTGGCTAGCCAGTCTCTGAGGAGACTGATTTCTAGACTGGGATGAATGTGGTGAGCGACTCCTGCTGTGCTGGTAATTCCGCTCTGGCCTTCTGCCTCGTACCTCCCGGGTCAAATCATCCCTGTAGATATCCCTGTGTACCACACTGGGCAGTGTAAACTGCTCCCGAGCCCTAGGTTCATATCGGGGGTCATGAGCATCAAAACGGTTTGGACTTCGACTCCGAGATGTATAATAGAGCCCATGTTGTAAAGTCCGCTCTCGAGGATCTCTATAGTAATCCTGATCGTAATGTCTTGTCCGATCAAATGCTCCCGTCCCCCGTTCATGGTGTCCATAGGCACTATGTTCATAAGCACGCTCCCTGTTATCTGAAGCCCTGCATTTAGGAGGGGGAAAAAATATTTAATCAGAATAGAGCAAGTAAAACTAAAAGCAAGTCATGCAAACATTCACTTCAGAATTGTCTTTGCACCTAGTTATTTTCTAAACAGCATTAACCTTAGTAAGCAAATACTAACAAGCTTAACATTTTATACTTCACCCCCAAAGTTATTTTCATAGCTGAGTGATCATTATTTTACTTGTATATCAGGCTTTCATGAGTGATGTTCTGCAGCTCAGATGTTTATTACAGATTTTCTGGCTTGTACACACAAACACACACATGCACACAACAAAATCTCTCTCTTTCTCTCTCTCATATCAGATTCTTGCTATGTAGTCCAGGCTGGCCATAAACTCATGATCCTACTTCCTCAGCCTCCAAAGTACTATAAATACTGACATGCACAACCATATCCAGCTATACCATCTTTTTTAAAATGGAAGTTTTTTATACTTTCATCTAAATAGAACCTGTATTTACTTGCAAATATTTTCAGCCATATTTGCACACTACATTTAGACAAAAGACATGAAAGCTGGATGCAATGCACATTCTACAGATAAAAGAAATGTCAAAAGAAAGCCATAAAAAATTTAAGTTCAACTTTTTCCTTTTTCCTCAGTCATTTCTGTGTGCAAACACGTACAAGCACACACACGCACACGCAGGCACACACACGCACGCGCACGTGCGCGCGCACGCGCGCGCGCGCACACACACACACACACACACACACACACACACACACACACACACACACACACACACACACACACACACACACACACACACACACACACACACACTACTCCTGGGGCTTTAACTCAAGGAGCATCTACTGTTCATGACCTTTTAAGCTCAAAACTAGCCTCTACCAGTTAAACCACAGCTTCACTTCCAGCTTTTGGTGGTTAATTGTAGAGAACAGTCTCAAATGGGCTTTCCTAGCTGGGCTGGCTTTGAACTACAATTCTCAGATCTCCACCTCTTGAGAAGCTAGGGTTACAAAGTGTGAGCCAAGGGCGCCCAGCTTTCAATAACTTTTGTTTTATCTTGTGGTCATGGGGCTTGAACTCTGGGCCTGGGTGCTCTTCAGCTCAAGGTGAACGCTCTACCACTTGAGCCACAGAATCACTTCCAGTTTTCTGGTGATTAACTGGAGATAAGAGTTTCACGGAGTTTCCTGGCTGGGCTGGCTTTGAACACTGATCCTCAGATCTCAGCCTCCTGAGCAGCTAGGATTACAGATGTGAGCCACCAATACCTGGCTTTGTTTTGTTTTGAGACAGGGCTGTGCTCTGTAACCTAAGCTGCCTTGAATTTGCACTTCTGCCGCAGCATCCCCAGCTGAGACTGCTTTGATTAATTTTTTCTTAATTACTGGACTGCTTAAATTGCCTAAATAATGTTTAATAATAAAAACAAAATCTTAAGAACACATGAGATAAAAAAATACTGGCTATTATGTGTTATTCTATGCAAATTGACCTAAGAGTAAAAGTTATCTTCTTGTGCTATCCTTGTAATTTTTAAGCCATCTATGATGTCATGATTCAACATGTTAATATAGATACTTAATATGATAAAAATTAACTCTACAGTTTTTAGCAATGATTTAACTTACTAGTACCCCTCAACATCCTACCTTCCCAGTGCTGGGGATCCAACCCAGGCCCTCTCGCACATGCTAGGCAAGCGCTCCACTGCTGAGCCATATGCCCAATCCTTCAGAATTTTTTCACTAGGATATCAATGGCCACCAATCTTGGAGAATAAAAACTATTCCATTATAATAACATTTGCAATTATGTGCTAATGTTAAAAACTAATTCTATTTATATAAGAAACTGTAAGTTCTCCATTTTTACACAGAACTGGAATTCAGTTCATGCATTTTTTTTTTTTTTGGTCAGTCATGGGGCTTGAACTCTGGGCCTGGGCACTGTAGCTGTTCAGCTCAAGGCACATACTCTATAACTTGAGTCACACCGCCACTTCCAGTTTTCTGGTGTTTAATTGGAGATAAGAGTCTCATGGAGATTCCTGCCCAGGCTGGCTTTGAACCGCAATCCTCAGATCTCAGTCTTCTGAGTAGCTAGGATTACAGGAGTAAGATAACAGCACCCAGTTGATTTCTTAAAAGACAAATCACTTGGATTTTTTTATTCAACTTCATCTTATATAAATCTTCTATAGAAAAGAATTAAGGGAATCAAGCCAGTGGCTCACACCTGTCATCCCAGATGCATGAAGAAAGGCTCCAGGTCAGCCCTAGCAAAAAGAGTTTGTAAGATCCCACCTCAACAGAAAAGGTAGGCCATGGTGGTACAAATCTGTAATCTCTGCTATGAAAGGAAGCATAAATAGTAGGCTCATGTTCCAGGTTACAGGTTTGGGCAAGACTCTATCTCAAAAATAACCAGAGCAAAACGATCTGGAGCTGCGGCTCAAGACAGGAGAGCACGAGTCTAGCAAGCATGAAGCCTGGGGTTCAAATCTCAATACCACCCCTAAAAAGAAAAACACTTTTAAAAAGAAATTGGGATAAAGAATTTAAATCTCTCCAACAAAAGGTATATGGAAAAATTCTGTAAAATGCAATACTATTTTCCCAGTCTTCTCCAGGAATGGGAAATCTCTAACATTTCTTTTTACCCATCACTTTACTACACCACAATCCCACTTCACTAGGCTATTTTTCTTTTTTTCTACTGCTATTGTAACAAACTGACCTAACCCTCTGCCCCCTAAAAAAAAAATCATACCCAAATGATTTTCTCCTTCACTCTTTGCTATAATTCTGAAATTTGGATACTTCAATGTCTAACAAGGTTTCCTTTGAAACTTAGGAGAAAACTTCATAAATAATTCATTTAGTACCCTATGAAATGTTTAATCAGTGAAAGCCATTATTAATGGTATAACAAAAGCAAAAAAAAAGGCAAAAGCTCTAGAATTACTGCTACTACTAATATTCTGTAAATATGCAACATTCTTATCCATTAGGAAGGTACAGAAGGCAGGCACAAGAGCTAGTATAGCTGAATCTAATGGCTATTCTTTGACTCATCTATTAGTACTAAACATTTCTAGAGTTAGTGGGGAAAGAGAGTTCGACTTAGGTTAGGAGAGGGACTAAATACACAGGTCAGGACATACCAACCTTTTCCAACTGTGGAAACACGACCTATAATCCCAATTAAATCTAGGGAGAGAATTGTGAACATAACTTCCCCAATTTTGGCCCCTCTTACAGGGGTAATCCACCTTCTTAATGGGCAAGGGTGTCAAAATGATATTTAGATGAACCACAAGAAAAAAAAAATCTTAGTGACCAGACAAAATAATTCCACTGGAAGCAAGTAGTCCCAAACAAACTGTAACTCTCAAACCCCCAGACTTCTTTCTTGAGATAGTAGACATTATAAATTGATCCACATTCATAAATATCCAGCCCTAAGTATTGATCAGGCAGCTGGCAAGAAAAGGAAATATCCTTTAAAATTCCAACAGATGAAGAAAGTATGAGTGCTCGCCAATTGTTTGCCTTTGTAGCCATCCAACCCAGTCAGTTTTAACAGCTGTATCCACAACTGATAATCACCATGCGTTCAAAACTAAAGTTTTCTGGACCCAACTTGCTTAAGAATGACATAGTAATCCTCTTCCCCTGGGCTAATTGGAATCTTGAGAGCATGACATCCCATACATTCCAGCATGTAGGAAAAAGTAGCTATATTCCAGCATTAATGAATGTCCATCGTCTCAACTTTCCCCCATTCAGCCAAGAAGTATAATTCCAACACAGAACTCGGGTAGATCCAAAATGGAAAACTCAAACACTGCCTTTGCTCTTCCTCATCCAAGTACATATTTCCATGTTAAAGTATTGTTTGTAGAATCCAAATGCTGAATCATTATGGTCTGCTAGATTATTTCGCAACAATCCAATTTGTAGACTTCGTGTAGTGAAAACCAAGAAGCAGGTATTGACTTCTAAAAGGATCTGTCAGCTCTAATATTCCAGAAATATTCCAAATAGCAGGACCAGGAAACCTGTAGCCAAATAGCTCCATCAGGTAGAAGGTATATATATATATCCACAGAAGGCCTTGATATCCCAAAGGAGTAATTAATTCTAGAAGACAAATAACTCCAAAAATGATACTGCCACAGGAAATCTTCCATCATGTTATAGTTCAGGAGTAGATAATCCAATCCACTGAAGAAAATAATCCTCTAGGATTCCGTAAGACACCAGCCACTGGGACAGAAAGCACTTCTGTTTCCAACCCAAAATAGGAAACATTGAGAATGCCCAAAACTTTAAATCCATCTGGGGCCCCTAGATATGAGTTTCTGGTTCTCACCACATCAAATACAAGACACCTGCCTACAGAAACCTTGGAACTTACCCATCAAGTCTCCGCTCATAACGTCCTTCTCGTGCATGAAGTGATGGTGGGGGGCCATAAGCAGGCCCTCCACCACCTCCTCTGAACCCAGAAACCTCTCTACTACGAGATGCTATGGAAACTGTATCATCCAATCCCCGAGCAGCACTTGGAATAGTGCCTGGTTCATTGTAATCCGTGCGGAGGTCTCTATCTCCCATTTTGTTGACTGAGTTGTGAGCTTTCTGTGCACTTTTAATGTCCACAAAATCCACAAAGGCGGCCACTCCTCCTTCAGAGCCCCTCTTGGGGAGAATTTTGACACTTTCCACACGGCCATAGCTGGAAAAAAATAAAGTCAACATTATTACTACATATTATTATTGCATATCAATTATTTTCCAAAATGTTTTTAAAATACTTCTTAGAAAATTTATATTATATATAATATAATTATGGGAAAAAGGTTACACATGACTTTTTAAATAGTTCTTTCTTATTAACAAGTATGTTTTCCATTTTCCTTTGGAAGAAATATTTGCACCCCAGTATTATTCTCCAAAGGCTTAAATTCAGGGCCTGGGCACTCTCCTTGGGCTCTTTGCTCAAAGCTAGTTCTGGGGTTTTTTTTGCATTTTTGTTTTTGTTTTTGGTGGCTGTGGGGCTTGAACTCAGTGTCTGGAAGCTGTTCCTTCACGGCTAGTACTTTAGCACTTTGAGTCACAAAATCACTTCCAGTTTGTCTGGTGGTTAATTGGTAGAGTCTAATTGGTAGAGTCTTTCGGACTTTTTTATCCTCAGATCTCTCAGCCTCCTAAGTAGTTAGGATTACAGGCATGAGCCACCAGCACCAGGCTTCAAGGCTAGTTCTTTACCATTTGACTCACAGCTCCACTTCTAACTTTTTGGTGGTTAGTTGGAGATAAGAGACTCTCGGGGGGCTGGAAAGGTGGCTCAGTGGTAGAGAGCCTGGGGGGGGGGGGGGGGGGACTGGGCATCCTTGGTTCCCGCCTGTAATCCTAGCTGCTCAGGAGACTGAGATCTAAGGATCACAGTTCAAAGCCAGCCCAGGCAGGAAACTCCATGAGACTCTTAGCTCCAATAAACCACTCAGAAAACCAGAAGTGGTGTGGTGGCTCAAGTGGTAGGTGGCTAGGCTTGAGTTGAAGAACTGATAGACAGTGTTCAGGCCCAGAGTTCAAGCCCCTAATGACAAAAAAAAAAGGACTTTCCTGGCCAGGCTGGCTTCAAACTGCGATCCTGAGATCACTAGAATTATACATAGGATTATAGGCATGAGCCACTGGCGCCCCATTAACTTCCTAAACATAATATTTACTAAACTATCCTTAACCTTTTTTTTTTTTTTGTCAGTTGTGGGGCCTGAACTCCAGGCCTGGGCGCTGGCCCTCAGCTCTTCAACTGTAGACTAGCGCTCTACCACTTGAGCCTCAGCCCCACTTCCGGCTTTTTCTGCTTATGTGGTGCTGAGGAATCAAACCTAGGACCTCATGCATTCAAGGAAAGCACTCTACCACTGAGCCACCTTGCCAGCCCCTCCTTAACCTTTCTGTAACACTTATCTGAAATGAATCTCAAAAAGGCTGAGGGCCAAGTACTTAGCTATAGGGAAGGCTGAAATCAGAGGATTATAGTTCAAAGCAGCCCACACAGACAAAGCTAGAGACTTTTTTTTTTTGTCGGTCAATGGGTCTGAACTCTGGGCCTAGGTACTGTCCCTAAGCTCTTCAGTTCAAGGCTACTGCTCTACCAATTGAGACACAGCGCCACTTCCGGCTTTTTCTGTTTATGTGGTGTTGAGGAATCAAACCCAGGGCCTCATTCTTGTAAGGCAAATACTCTACCTCTGAGCCACCTTCCCAGCCCAAAGCTAGAGACTCTTTATCTCCAAGTTTTAGGAAGACTGGGAGGATAACTCAAGCATGACTATTTTTTAAGCAATTGTTAAGCAATTTTTAACTCTAAAAATAGGTTATTAAACCTAAAATGGAATAGAAATAATTTTAAAATCTTGGGCTGGAGCCAAGTAGCAGTGGTTAACACCTGTTATCCTACTCAGGAAGCTGAATCTGAGGATCATACCACTTGAGCCACAGCACCACTTCCAGCTTTTCTGCTCACTATGTGGTGCTAAGGAATCAAACCCAGCGCCTCATGCATGCAAGGCAAGCACTCTACCCTGAGCCACTTTTCCAGCCACCCCATTTGTAATTTTTAAGAATAAAATGCAAGTTTTTCTTAAATAAGAATATAAAGCTGGCCAGGCCCAGTGGCTCACATTTATAATCCCAGCTACTCAGGAGGCTGAGATCTGAGGATCATGGTTCAAAGCTAGCCCAGGTAGAAAAATCTGGGAAACTCTTATCTACAATAAACCACTCAGAAAACCTGAAGTGGGTGGAGCCAAGTGGAGCCGGCTGCCAGTGGCTCACACCTGTAATCCTAGCTACTCAGGAGGCTGAGATTCGAGGATCACGACTCAAAGCCAGCGTGGGCAGGAAAGTCCATGAGACATAATCTCCGTTAAAGCACTAGAAAACCGCAAGTGGCGCTGTGGCTCAAGCGGTAGAGCTCTCGCCTTGAGCTGAAGAGCTGAGGGATAGTGCCCAAAAGCTCTGAGGTCAAGCCCCACGGCTGACAAAAAAAAAGAAAGAAAAGAGAAAAGAAACCGGAAGTGGCACTGTGGCTCAAGTGCTAGAGCACTGGCCTTGAGCTGAAGAGCTCAGGGACAGCGCCCAGGCCCAGAGTTCAAGCCCCAGGACTGACACGCACAAATGAAAAAGAAAAAAAAAAAAAAAAAAGGCAGATATTCAAGTTTTTCATATAAAATAGAAAAGTAAGACTAAAGGTATGGTTCAGAACATAGAGTGCCAGCCAAGCAGCAAGCTAAGAAAGTGTAAGGTCCTGTTCAAACACCAACAGGTAGGTAAGTTTATAGATAGACAGGCAAAGTATTTATATATACTACATGAACATCTTCCCATATACTTTTTCTTTATGGTGGTACTAGTCAAGAAACCCAGGAGCTTGGACGTGCTAGAAAAGTGTTGTTCCACTAAACTGTATTTCCAGCCTCTTCCCTTTTTTTTTTTTTGGTCGGTCGTGGGGGCTGAACTCAGGGTCCCTCAGCTCTTCAGCTCAAGGCTAGCGCCCTACCACTTGAGCCACAGCACCACTTCCTGCTTTTTCTGCTTATGTGGTGCTGAGGAATCAAATCGAGGGCCTCATGCATGGGAGGAGGCAAGCACTCTACTACTGAGCCACCTTCCCAGCCCCCTCTTCCCTTTTTATAAAGCTGTCTCATTCTATTTCCCAGACTAGCCTACCCTCCTATCAAACTTCCTGCCTCAGCTTCCTGTGTAGCTTTTTCAAGTACCTTAAACTATCTCTAAATACTTAGAATATCTATTATAATGCATATAGCTGTTGCACTGGGGTCAGAGCCTGGGGTTACAGCTTACTGAAACACAGGCTTAGCAGAATCCAAGCAGACCTGGATTCCAAGAACCAAAAAAAAAAATTTTTTTTTAAAGAAAAATATTTGTATATGTTCACTGCAGATGGAATTTTTCCCAAATACTTTCTATCCATAGTTGGCTGGATAAAGAAGGATGACTAGCCGGGCACTGGTGGCTCAAGCATGTAATCCTAGCTACTCAGGAGGCTAAAATCTGAGGATCATGGTTCAAAGCCAGCCCGGGGAAGAAAAGTCCATAAGACTCTTATCTCCAATAAACCACTAGAACACTGGAAATGGCACTATGGCTCAAGTGGTAGACCACTCACCTTGAACGGAAGAGCACAGAGACAGCACCCAAACCCAGAGTTCAAGCCCCACAATCGACAAAAAAGTGACTATATCTCCTAAATTTACAATAAAAATCTGCCTAAAATGTTTGCTCTCCTTACAACATTTGACAATATTTAAAGTAAGTATTAAAGTCCTTAGAAGTTCCCTGAAGAGGGCTGGGATTGTGGCTTAGTGGTAGCCTGCTTGCCTAACATGCATGAAGTCCTGGGTTCAATTCCTCAGTACCATATGAACAAAAAAGGCTGGAAGTGGCATTGTGGCTCAAAGTGTAGAGTGCTAGCCTTGGGTGAAAGCAGCTCAGGGACAGTGCCCAGGCCCTGAGTTCAAGCCCCAGGGCTGGGGGAAAAAAAGAAAAATAGTTCCCTGAAGAATGTGACTTCAGATTTTACATTTGAGAGCAAAGTGGGAAGTGGGAAATGAGGCTATGAGAAAAGACTACAGTTGTGATTTTAACAGTTATTAATTACATGGCTTTAAAAGATGACGTTCTAAGCTCTTGATATATACTGGGAACAAAACAGAAGCCTCATGAAATTTATTTACAATTTTCAATTACCCGATAGATGAAAAGGTTCTCCATCTCACCCAGACTCTAATACTGTTTCATTAACCGCCCCCCCCCATAAGAAACTTATTTAAGAATTACCAATGTACACTACTCAGTAGACTGAGATCTGAAGAGGAGCTGGGGCAATAAAGTTTATGAGACTCAACTCCAATTAACCACCAAAAAGCCAGAAGTGGAGGTGGCTCAAATGATAGTCTGGCCCTGAGTTCAAGCCCAGTACTGGCAGGAGAAAACTGCCAAACAAACCTGAAAATCACTGGTTTGCCCCAGAAAGGGGGAAGGGGACTCAGCAGGAACCATTAGTATGTTAAAACCCCAGTGAATTCCTCAGTGTGCCTTTTCAGAAAAGCCTGCAAGCAACCTTCATTGTCTGGGTTATCAATAGGAATGCAATGGCAATTTTAATCCAGCTTTTGCAACTGACCTACTAATAAGCAATAGTGTGAATTGCCACATACTTCATTTGCACAGAAGTTCTCCTACTAAAGACAACAATCCTCCCTGAGTCATTCTAGAAACAAAACAACAGAACTACACCTCACTAATGAAAATAGCACATTCAAGTTTTGCAACTAATCCCTCATAGCCAGTTAACTCCCACATCTGATAGGTTGGGGACATGCACAACATGTTGTGTTTGATCCCTAGCACCACACATACATATATATACATACATACATACACACACACACACAGACACACACACACACACACAGTCTCACTCCCACCTCCCTTTACTTTCCTTGTTGGTCCCCTCCCCACATTAGTTTCCATGGAAGGACAGAGGAAGGGGAAGCCATGCAGAGGCTATAGAGACAATGTCCCCAGAGGTAGCAGAGGAGTGGGAGGCAAAGCAGTTGGGATACTAGTTCCAAGGGGCACACAATTGACTGAGCAATGAAGTAAATGTATCATGAATAATGGGAGTCAGGATTTCACTGA